CGTCGAAAATGTGCAGCAGTACTTGAGTATGGTCCAATGGTCGCCGGTGGGAAATGCTCTGGTTTTCAACTTCAATCGGAATCTGTACTACAAGAAGAGTGCTTCGGATCAGGAGATCGCTATCACTAGTGACCTCAGCGATAAAATACTCAATGGCATCCCCGACTGGGTGTATGAGGAGGAGGTATTCAGCTCTAATGTGGCCACTTGGTTCAATCCCAAGGGCACCCAACTGGCCTTCATCAAGTTCGACGACTCGTCCACGCATCAGATTAATTTCCCCTACTACGGTGATGCCGGTGATCTGCGATACCAGTATCCGCTGCACCAGGTGATCGCCTATCCCAAGGCTGGATCCTCCAATCCGCGGGTGGAACTGGTGATGGTCGATCTGGAGAGGGCAATCGCTGGTAACGATTTCTTGACCACAATGCCGGTGCCACCGGCTTTAAATACGGAAACGGACTATATCGTCACCGTGGTCAGTTGGGTGGACGATAGCAACGTGCTGTCCATCTGGATGAACCGCATCCAGAACGCCGCCTCTGTCGTTACCTTCGACGGACTCAACAGGAAAGTGGTAAGTTATTTAGTGAAGTATTACATAGGATTCTTTTGATGTTGTCTAATAATATAATTACACAGAAAAAATGTTTTGAGTTGAATAATACAATTTTTATACCCGTTAATCGTAGAGTAAAAGGGTATACTAGATTCGTGCAAAAGTATGTAACAGCTAGAAGGAAGCGTTTCCGACCCCATAAAGTATATATATTCTTGATCAGGGTCACTAGCCGAGTCGATCTAGCCATGTCCGTCTGTCCGTCTGTCTGTCTGTCCGTCTGTTCCGTCTGTATGCACGCTGAGATCTCAGAAACTACAAAAGCTAGAAGGTTGAGATTTCCCACACATATTCTTTGGCTTCCTACGCAGCGCAAGTTTATTTTAGCCGAGCGCCACGTCCCCTCTAACGCCCACAATTGCCCACTAACGATTTTAAAATGGGTCCTGCGCCCACATCTTTAAAGATTTCCGAGAAGTATAAATGCAATTTTGTTGTGTATATTTATACCTATCGAAATGTAGAAGACATTTTTCAAATCGGACCATTCATTAAAAAGTTATACGCAATCAAAAATTATATATCTATCTCCCTCGCACTCCCTTTAGCTGAGTTACGATTATTAGTCGGGACACCAACCCGACACAGCGTTCGCACTCCCTTTAGCTGAGTGACGGGTATTAGATAGTCGGGACAACAACCCGACTATAGCGTTCTCTCTTGTTAACATTTACATTTTGTACAGTTCCAATGGTTGAATATTTCATAAACCATATAAGTGTACTTTGTAGTTTCAACAAAATATATTTACTCATTCGATGACACGAAATAAATTCATCTTCCGTAGATCTACAGCGACGAATCGAAGACCGGTTGGGTTGACCTCTATACCGCTCCGTTCCGTAACCGCAATGGTTCCCGCCTGGCCTTCGTCCTGCCGTACAACAACTACAAGCAAGTCCAGCTCCTCAGCTCCACGGTGGCCAGCGCCGAGCCACAGACTCCAGAGCCCCTGACCGAGGGCAAGTACGTGGTGGACAGCATCCTGCACTGGGACGGATCCAACGACATCATCTTCTACACGGCCAACACGGAGGACCATCCGGAGCAGCTGCATCTGTACGCCGTTCGGGCGCTGGCCAAGCAGAGTCCCAAGTGCCTCACTTGCAACCTGATAAAGTCCGGGGATGTGACGCAGACCTACTTCTCGGCGACCTTCAACGACAATAATCACATTGTGATAACCTCTCAGGGACCTGGCATTCCCACCACCCACATCTACGAGTGGAAATTCGAAAACTGTAAGTTTCTATACGAATGGGGCTTGTAAAAAAATATAAAGCTTTAAATATGATAATGATATGATAATAGAATAATACTAATTTTTATTAATAAGTTAATTTAAAAAGTTATTCGCACAACTCGAAAAGTACCTTCTTAAAGTTAAACAGTTTATCCTAGATATACCAAAAATATTTTATTAAGGGCATTTAATTTCGAATAAAATAAAAAAATAAAAGTTATCATAATAAACTTATAACTTAAAAAAAAGTTTTTATAAAAGTAATGCTTATACAACTTAAAAAGAATGATTTAAGAAGAAAAATGTGTAATTGAATATGCTTTTAATTGTTAATTGCCTGTTATTTAAATATTTAGTAACTACGCTGAAACAGAGATATTTAAGAATTATTTTGGGACTAGAAAATAAATTAGAATACAATTTTATCTTTATTTTATTTTTATCTTTATTTATCTTGTAAATTTTTGTAGCTCAAGTTGTCATCTCGCACGTCCTCGACTGGGAAACCAATGAAAGCCTGCGTGCCAAACTGAAAGGCACAAAACTGCCTTCCCACAAGATCCTCACCGTTAACATTGACGGTGGCTTCCAGGCGAAGGTTCTGCTCCAGCTGCCTCCCAATTTGGACACCAGTGGTGCAACCAAGTATCCCATGCTTGTGGATGTCTACGGAGGACCGGATTCCTATTCTGTGCGTTAAATAATTGCTGTTAAATATGATCTAGAATTATATTCATTTGTATAATGCAGGTAACCAACAAGTGGATGGTGGACTGGGGCACTTATTTGACCTCAAATCAGTCTGTGATCTATGCCAAGATCGATGGTCGGGGCTCCGGACTCCGTGGTGAGAGTCTCCTCCATTCCATCTACCTAAAGCTGGGCACCGTGGAGATCAGCGATCAGATCAACGTTACTCAGTGAGTTTTGTTCCTCACTTATACTCTCCGTTTAGCATATTCCTTGAAAAGCCAATTAAACTTCCACAAACTTGTCCTATTTTTTAGATCCCTCACTAAAACGCTGAACTACATTGATCCGGATCACGTTGGCATTTGGGGCTGGTCATATGGTGGCTATGCAGCTGCAATGGCTCTGGCCAACGACCAAAACCAAGTGTTTAAGTGTGCAGCCTCGATAGCTCCAGTCACGGATTGGGCCTACTATGGTGGGTTACTGAAGCCCTACATTTTGTGTTCCAATATATTAAATATGTATTTTCCTTGCAGACTCCATTTACACAGAGCGCTATATGGGCCTGCCCAATACAAATGAAGCGGGCTATGAACATTCCAGACTGAGCACAATGGCCTACAAGTTAAAGGGCAAGAAATACCTATTGGTCCATGGTACGTCCGATGATAATGTGCACTACCAGCAAGCCATGATTCTAGCCAAAAATCTGGAGCGTCAAGATATTCTTTTCAAGCAGATTGTGAGTATTTATGCTATAATATTTTTCAATATTTCTAATATATCATATACTTTTTTTAGAGCTACGCTGATGAGGATCACGGTCTGACCAATGTGCGTCCGCATTTGTATCATTCGTTGGATCGCTTCTTTGGCGAATGCTTCGCCAGCAGTCGCCTAATGAAAAGTGCCAAATAAATCTGGCAAAAACTGAAACACCAACATTGATAAAAGCACAGATATTATAGACATTAGTTGTAATTGCCAGATAATATCAAGTAATGTTTAGCTGTGTTTTGAGACAATTTTTCAGCTGCTAATAGAAAGGTGGAAAACACAAATTGGTACTTAAAAAGTTAATAGATTGCAAATTAAACAAAAACTTTAAACAAACTAGTTAATCAGACATTTCAAATTAATATAAAATTAAAAATGCTTAAACAGAAGGATTAAACGAGAACTATAAACCAACATAATGCAGGTCCAAAAGTGTTATAAGATAACTTGGAACAATAATCTTTTCAAATTGCATTTTAAGACATTTTAAACTTAATGAGAAAAAAGGTAAAATCAAACAAATTATTTAAAATAGTTGCAATTGAAGGAAAAGCATTGTTTAGCTAGTGCCTGATTATATTGCTAATATAAAACGTATTGTAGATATTGCAATTCAATTACAAATTGTGTATTCCAACACTTGCAAGCGCTCCAATTTAAGCTTACCAATCCTAGATCGGACATTTTAATTGGTAACAAGCATCCTGTAAATTAAATACAAAACAAAAACCTATTGTAGTGTGTAATTTTTTGTAGCTTTTTAGTTTGCTACTTGTAAAAAAGTAAACAAAAATTGTAAATACTTAAAAAACATAGTTGTTAAATGGCTTTTTGTATATTAGAAGACAACATTGTGTATAGGCAACCGTTAAAAAGGCAAAAACAATAAACAATAAAAATAACAAATTTGTCGAAAGTTTGAATCTTACTTATGACACAAAAACGTAAGGAATTTAATTCATAAATGCTCCCCAGAAAAACTCCCAAGACGTTTAATGATTTTTTTTTCAGTACACAAACCGGCTTGCTTTATTGCCTTGGCCCCAAATACTGGGTTACATGAATATGTATGTTTTTCCTTTGGGACAGAAACTCGTCTATCCCATTCGTAATCCGAAGGGCCTTTTGCTTCAACAGTTTTCAAACAATCAGAATTGAATGCATTTCATACTTATTGCGTATTATGTGCCAATTGGTTTTTCTTACTTTAAGTCGATATATATTACATTTGAATACGATTTCTTACGTTGTTTGTTTTGATCTTCAACCGACGATAACTGATAGATTAGATCGTCAATGGTTATTTAATATGTGCAGTTTTTTCTGAACTAGCAAGTATTTAGTAGCATAATTTGTATAGTACAAAAATAATCTTTATTATCCGCTAGTTAATTGAAATTGTCCTTCAATATATTAATGTTAAGATGAATACTTTCAATGGAAAATATTTGTCTACTTGTTTGAAAACTATATACAAACTGAAACAAGGTCTTCTAAAAAGTCTTTCTTACTAAGGTTATTTATAATGGTTTTATCAGTTATTTTATGTACACGATCTGAATTGGTTTTTCTCAAAATGTGTGCAATTAAGAAGGAGGATTAGATATAGAAATTGAAGAAGGAAATAACCTAGACATATAGCTGAATTTTTTGAAAAAATTACCAAATTAAAGCTTTGTCAAATTCGATTTACTGCTTGCACACATTTTGGGCGACCCAAAATTGTTCATAGAATGGCTAAAACTTATTTCGCTAATGCTTAACGCTAATCTCTCTTACTGGAGATACACTTCTTGGACAACGTCATGATGTTGCTGCTGCTGGGGATCGTGTAGGTCCTCCTGCAATTGCAGCTGATGATGCTGCTCCTCAATCGTTCCGCCATCATCGTACTCGATCAACTGATCATCCTCCGTCTGCTGATGATGATCTATGATTATGTGATCTTGATCCAAATGATGGTGATCCACCAGCTGGTGATCTTGGTGATACTCATGTTGCTGCTGCTGTTGGCTGTGGTGATGATGTGGCTGATGGGTGAAGACCAGTGGCGGCGGCGACGTCGACGTGGCTATGTGCTCGTGTATCGCCGACGCGCCGCTCGAGGTCGATGCTGTGGTGGCTGTGTTTGTGCTCTGGTGATAGGTGGTGGCTTGCTGATTTCGAACAATATGACCGGCGGCTGTGACACTGGTCACGCTGGCGCGCTGATTTGTGCGCGTCAAGGTGACGGTCACCTCGGAGCCCAGTCCGGCAAACGAGACAGCTGGTGTGGATGGTGGCGAGGATGATGTAGCTACTGCTCCTCCTCCCAAAGATGCTGCTGCTGCTGCTGCCGAGGCTCTGGCCTGGAGAATTTTACGGGTGGGCAATTGGGACGTACTCTGGGTGGATGCGGTTGCTGTTGCTCCCGATCCAGCTCCCGATTGTGGCACGTAGTTAATGAGCAGGACACGCTCGCCGCTGGTTGTCTGCGCCGCATGACCGCGCAGGATGCGTCGCTGGAGTGTAGATGTTGCTCCTGTTCCATTTCCAGACGATGATGCTGACGTTCCTGGCGTGTTGCTCCTGCTGTTGCTGTTGCTGCTCAATGTTGCTGCTGTCGTGCCACCGTTGTTGCTGCTGGTGTTATGTTGCTGCTGCTGCTGCCCGCTCCCGCCTCCTCCTCCTCCTCCAGGGCCGCTGGACATATCGTTGGCTCATCATTACGTATTATTACCGCCTTTCAAAATGAAAACCTTCTTTACCAAAATGTTCTTGTTGTTGCCCTTATTGTTTGAATGAAATTGAATTTGATTTGTTGTGGGATGCATGACCGATTAGTTATTACACACAAATGTATGGAATTTGATTGGTTAGATGGTGTTTTTTATTTGTAAACGTGGCAGCGAGAAAGAGAGAAGAAGACAAGATAAAAACGATTTGTTAATGGATCTCGTCATGTGCTGCAAAATTTTGCTAAATGCTGTGGAAAGATGCGTGTGATGTGTGTGTGGTTGAGTTTTCTTTTTGCAGTGCCAAGTGCAATTAGTCACAATATGATCTTCTGTAAAATGTCGATCGTTATCACGTTATTTTCGTTTTTTTGCGTCATCCGTCTTGGAAGAAAACTATAAACTAATAATACTGTATTACATAAATAAATACTTCATGCCAGCAAAATAAAATACAATAAATAAACAGGAACACAACGGTTAATAAATGCAATTCAAACTACAAGAAACTAAATAAAATAAACCATCACCAAAATAAAGTTTAACATAAAAGAAAATACTAAGAAAAATTTTGTTTGAAAAGGTTTTTGTTTTATTTTAATGGTTTTTTTTTCGTTTTAAATCATTTTAGATTTTAATTAAGTATGTAAAGAGACTAACAATAACTTGACCACTTCAGATAGATGGTATATCCCCAGCCGTTTAAATTTATACAATTAAATCATAGTTCTAGGAATATATTTCATCTCTCTGAAATAGTTCAATGGGGGGTCTATTATGAAAAATTTCCAACTATTAAAATTAAGAAATATACATATAAAATGTTTTCGTTTAAACTTAGAGCGCATAATTCTTAACTAAAAACGATAGCAGAGAAATCGGAAAGAATGATAGATTAATTGAGTGGTTGTTGGTGGGCAGACACAGATTGGGGTTCTTAGACACCCTCTTGAGCGAGCTCTTTTTGATCAGATCAACTATTTTTGAGCTGCTTAAGTAGATATTTATAAATCAAAAATTTTTAAGCTATCTAAGTGTATTTATATTTAACTAGATTTTTTTTAGGGCAAGGTGCCATCGCTCAGGGCCAAAATCTGGCCATGAACAAGGAAACCTTTGTGTATTGCATGATTTTCACTGATCTGGAGGACTTCAATCTGACTAGAGATCCTCTAGCATTGGGACATTGGTAAAACTATACAAAATGGATAGTTGTATAAAAGAATGAAAATATGCACGTAATAATCCAATAACCATAGCGCACTTAAACTAGCAACAAAACTAAATTGTAAGGGGCAAATCAACATTTAAAGTCATAAAAATTGTACAACAAAATAGTAAACAACTAATAGTGCCCGTACGGCTTTTAAAATTAATTTAGAATTTGTCTACGCATTCAGCGAGAAGAATAATCAAAGCGTTTAGCAAAAACCCAAATTAATAATTATATAGAATAGTACATAGTGGATCTACGTCTTCGGTCCGATCAGAGCGTCTGTTGTGGTTGTGTTTGCTGTTGCTGCTGTTGTTGTTGCTGCTGCTGCTGTTGTTGCTGTTGCTGCTGCTGCTGTTGTTGCTGGAAGTCAGTCATATTCACCTGATTTAAATTGCCTATGATCTGATGGCCCTGCAGCGTCTGCACCTGGGCAATCGAAAGCGGTGCTCCACTCTCGCTGCCATCGGCGGACTGAGCCACTAGTTGTTGCTGCTGCCCGGCCGCCTGTTGCTGAGCGGCAGCAGCCGCTTGAGCGCTCGTCGTAGCCGTTGTTATGTTGCCCGAGGAGTCTATGATTTGGTGATGTTGCAGCTGTTGCTGCTGCTGTTGTTGCTGCTGCTGCTGGACTTGCTGTTGCACTTGCTGCACTTGCTGCACCTGCTGTTGTTGCACTTGTCCGCCCGCCGAACCACTCACTGCCATTGCCTGCTGCTGCTGTTGTTGCTGTTGCTGCTGCTGCTGGGCATCGGGATCCTTCTTCACCTGCACGCCCTGCAACGTATGCAAGGACTGCACCGTCTGCACCTGTGGCACATTGCCGCTGGAGCTCATTGCTCCACTGCCTCCCGATCCCGAACCACTGGATCCGCTACTAGACTTCTTGCCACTGGTTGCTGCAAGGAAGGAATGAGGTGCTGGTGAGAAGACTGCCGCTGCGGTGGGCCAAACTACACAGGGGATAGTAAGAGTAATACAGAGCGAGAGGACGACACTACAGCAACATCGCTGGCCCAACAGAGAAACAACGCGACTTTCAAGGACTACGGCCAGAAAGAGAATGTAATAATGTATGGTTGTGTAAATGGAGATACAAAAAATAACGAACATGACAAAACATTTGTTAGTATCAGTTTAAATCAATTAGGGTGTTCAATTGCGTTGCAAACGTTGTAAAGTGTAAAAGTGTAAGGCAGTTCCAACAACAATTTCTATAGGCCTTTAAAACAATTTTGTATAGAAATTGTTGTTGGAATTGGTATACACTTTTACACTTTACAAAGTTTGCAACGCAATTAAACACCCTAAATAAGAAACAAATAAAATCAAAATGGTTAATGAAATAAAATAAAATCTAGGCAAAAATGTAAGTTACATCAACGTAAATGTAGTAAAACATAAAACAAATGACAAACAAAGTAACAATAAGAAACTCAATCTAAACTTTGAAATACGACTATCAGCCAGGTTGTCAATTCTACATCCGCAAGATCTGTTCCAACCAATGAATGTTTCAAACAACTCTTTTGCAGGGGAATTCAGAACAGTATTAACTGTACTGAGAGTTAGTAGCTTAGGAAATCGACCAGCAGTATTTTCTTGCAACTAAGAGAAACGATAACAAACAGCCAATTGCAATAAATTAAAGTCCGTGCCATAGGCAGAGATTAATTTCGTTTTTGTTATATAAAAAAATATATAATATTTTATTAATTAAACAATTTGTAATATAATATTTAAAATAGAGAAACTTAAACCGATTGCGATCCTCTACTGTAATTGTACATTTAATTTTTACAACAATTATTTGCGACACTAATTAGATTATTTAAGTAAATTAGTCGAGTATTCATTTACGTGGAGACATGCGAAATTCTCTCCGTTTTATTTCCTCTGTAGTACAATATGCAAGAAAATACTGCATAAGAAAATGTTATATGTTAAAAGCGCAATTTGGAAAAGTTTTGCAAATTATAAACTTACGCAGCAATTAATTATGGAAAATTAAAAATGATACAGGAAATGAACACAAATCATTCGATCAGATCACGGGGAATTTGTTTGCTTGATTGATTGTTATTTACAAAACGTTTTCGTGTGTGTGTTATGCGAGTGGTATATTTTTTGTTTGGAAATGTGGATGATGGTGTCGTTGGTGCGTTGGAATGATTGAAGGCTCGGCAGGAGGTAGCTACTGCGGCTGCGGCTGTTGCTGCTGCGGCATGAAGACCTGATCGCCCACAATGTGTATGACGTTCTGCATGCCCTGCTGTTGCGCCTGCTGTTGCTGCTGCCCAGTGCCGCCCCCGCCGCCGCCCTCGTGTTTGATGTATGCCTGGCCACCACCCGCTAATGTTGCCGCGGTCAAGTGCTGCTGATGTTGCTGCTGCAGTTGCTGCTGCTGGGGCAGAACATTTTGGGCCAGGATGGCCGGTGCCCCCGCGGACTGCGGTACATTCGATATCACTCTCGTTGGCGTCGTACCGGATGATTGTCCTCCTTGTGATCCCGCTCCGCCTGGTCCATCACTGCCCACTGTGTTGTCGCCCTCTGCCGTGGTGTTCAGCTCCAAGCTGGAGTCTAGGGTGGTATCGTTACCGGACTTACTTTTCTTCTCCTTCTTCACGCCCGGCTTGGCGAAGTGCCGCAGCTCGAGATGGCGCCGCAGGTTCCGCGATTGACGAATGACAGCATAGCAAATGGGGCAAGTAGCAGGTTGTTCCGATTGCGACCGCGAACGGGGTTCTAAAAACGGGAAAAGAAAGTCATTTAGTACCAGGAAATGCGTTTGGGAACGTTAAACATTATTATCTAACAAGTTTTATCACTTTACACCAGCAATTAAATACCCCTTAAATACAACTCACTTTCTGCTCCGGGCGGATGTTTAGCGCGTTTAGCCTTTGGCGTGGATGAACCGCCACTCGTATTGACGCCGGATGAGCCAGTGGCTCCTTGTGCCGTTGTTATTTCTCCAGTTGCCGCATTTGCCGAGGTTACCGGTATCATGTTGTTGGGGTCCATGGTCACAATTGTCTCTACCTTTTGTCCTTCGCTCTTAATGATCGGTGTGGATGAAAGCAGCTGGCCCTCGGCTCCATTTTCGCCGAGTACCTGTTGCACGGATCCTGAACCGTGTGAAGAAGTCGGGGTGCCCATGATCGTGTCCATTCCTTCAACTTTGCTTATTTTCGGTGCCGTTGCTGCAGAAGGAAAATACATTTTATTAATTAATAAAAGTTTGAAATATATTTATAAGATTTTTAGGCAAATGTACAAGCTGAAATTCTGAATAATGGAAGATTTCTGATGTTCTTTTTCAACGAATTAATAAACTTTAATGATCATATACCAATGATAATAACTTACGTGACTTTTTATTGACGCGCGGTTTGCGCTTGCGTGCCGGGAGGAATGCCTGAATCACTGCCTGGTCATGTTTAGCTGCGTCCGTGGTCACAATGGTCTGCTGTTGTCCTGCTGCGTTGGTCTGGGTCGTTGCCTGGAGGATCTGGCCCTGATGATGGATGTCCTCCACCACCTGGGCATGAACCGTTTGCTGTGGGGCCGTGGCGATCGTTGCTATAAGTTGGTCCTGGTCGTGATGTTGCGGAATCATGTGTTGCAGTTGAATCGAGTGCGTGGTGTAGTCGTCCTTGGTCACCGTCTGCGGGGCCAGTCCCTGGATGTTGAGGCACTGGGCGGCCTGCAGGAGCGATGGTAGCTGGGCATGGTCCACACTCACCTCGCCACGGTACACAAA